ATCTGGCTTCCCACTGACGGTTTTTCACGTTTTTCTGTCTTTTTTGCTTCTGTAATCGAATAAAATTCACACAAACGCATCATACATCCTCTGTAAACATTCAAAATCAATCACAAAAACATCAATTTAATCAGCGAAAACATGCATGCAGACGCTTACAGTTCTGTTTTCATTAAAATCCCATGTTTTCTGGTTTTCTTCAAATTTTGCCTTCTAAATGCATGTAGAAAGAGCATTACTTGTGTAAATTAAATTATTATCCCTCTTACCCGACTGACGCACAGAATAGAATTCAAAACGTACGAGGAAATGGTTCTCAAATAATGGATGAACAGCGAGGACTAGCCTGAACATTGAAGGCAGGGTCAGAATGAGTCTCAGAAAGAATCTGCGGATTGTGGGCGAATTTCACCGCAAAGATTCGTTCCCCAAGAGTCCCAATATGTAAATCAACTAATCTACAACCTAGATTTGGAAAAGAATTGAACACAACAACAAGATTGGAGGAAAATTAGCAACTTAGTAACCAAATGGAGACATTGCTCAGGTGAAACAGTAAAGATTTCTGGGTTTTGAGGCTTACTACAGTAAATTGGAAGCCGGGATGTGTGCAAGAAGGGTTAGGAAACGTAAAGGATTAAAAGAATAACTCATAGGAAGAAGAAATCGGCTTACCTCAGCTGGGAAGAAGCCACATTTCCCTTCGACGCACCTATGGTTCAACACTCTCTGTTTTTCTGCCCTCTCTCTCTCTAGCTTCTGTCTCTCACTCTAACACTCAAAAGTTCTTACAGAACAAGCTCTCAACTCTCTCTCTCTTTCCTCTCTATGAACAAATGAAGAAGACAGAAGGAAGAAAATTCTTTTAAATGGGTTTCGGCTTCAAAGAGGACAGTTGGATGACATGCAAAGCATCCCGGCCCTTGAAGGAGAAAAGTGCCCGACAGCATGGAGAAGGATGGTTGTGGTCTTGACAGCTGGAAAGCACTCACCTGCAACAGCCCAGTTGGATGTCCACTAATAAAGAAAGTGGAAAGCTGTCAGGTCGAAGTCCCCAAAGCTGACATGCTCATGGTTAGCCTTGCCAAAGGATTAGGCAAGAGCGACGTGCACCTGGCGGTTCCAGAATTTCTAGCCCCCGATAGTGTGGGGGGATTCTGCCCTCCACCCTTGGCTAGGGGTTCAAAGAAGGCAGGGACTCGCGGGTTGGGAATTTCTCCAATCCGGAGGCACCAAAATCCCCCTAGACCTAATTCTTTCATGTTTCCTTTAATTTAAAAATTAATTTAAAATACAAAATAAATTTAAAACACATATAAGGAACACTTCTTTATTGATTTACAAAGATTACTCAGTTTTGGATGTTATGTGAGTCGAACGGGTAGACGGCGGTCCTATCATCTCCCTTTGCGCACAAGGAAGAAGAAAAAGAAAAATGGGGTTCAGGGGTTTAAAAGAGCCCAAAAATCGGTTTTCCTAGTTCAGGAAATCAAATTAATAGTCCATATCGAATCGGCCTAAACCAAATCGGCCCAGATCGAACCCGTCCAAACCAAACTGGCTTACTTTCTAAATCAAGCCAAACTCCAAATTTCACCATGAATCGGACCGATTTACTCCTCTTTGGTCAATTGTCTAGCTTGCCCAAGGTGAAAATTTCACTTTGTGATGGAATTAATCCCTGTCCACGGATCCAGATATGTGATAAATATTTATTGGTGCATGGAACATCGGAAGAACAAAAGGTTGAGGTGGCTTCACTCTACTTGGGTGACGTAGTAGATGTATGATATCTGAGATGGTTAGCAAAAGTGGAAGAGCTCGAATGAAAACTTTTTGTGTTCCTCTTACAGATTTGGTAGTGCCTCTCAAAAATATTTTATTAAAGAATTTAACAAGTTAACACATACTGGAACAGTCCTGGAATACCAAGAATGTTTCGAACCATTTGCATGCATTAATGAACGCCAACAATCTCATTTTTTATTAGAAATTTTTCATTTCTAGTTTTATTAGCAGGGTCCAAACCAAAATTGTAACAAATCATAAGGCTGCTTAACTCATGCTCACCCAACCAAGCATTTGAACAAGTCTTGCTCTAGGAATAATTTATGATAGAAATGTCTCAAAATTTATATTTTTCTAGCATAGTTGTCTAATTTTCGGAAGGATCCAAAATAAAAAATTATGAACAAGTGTCCTGAGCTGTGGGAAAAGAGATGAAATCTATAAGAGTAACAGTTACTTGCTACAAGTGTGGAGACCGGTATTTCTTAGGACATCGTTGTTCAAGTAAAACGGTAACAGTCTTGGAGGAAATTGTTATAGAATTAACTTTCAAAGAAAAAGTTTCCACAACTCAACCTTAGAGGATAAAGTTAATGCTCAAGGGGGAGAGTAATGTTAGGATACAAAGGATAAAAAAGAAAATTCACAAAAAGAGTAAATTAGTCTTTTGCGTATATCAATTAGGGGTTAGTGATAGGGTTAGTCTTTTGCACGTATCTTCACTGTAGCCGCCGCTGCATCACGAACGGCCG